GTCCCAGCTCTATTGAAATCCTTTATTATATAGTATTTCCCTCCATTAGATTATTTTTCAGACATACTTACAATGAAGAGAAATTTTACCAAGTTTTTGTGACTCCTTCAATGTCACTTTCTGGCAATTGTTTTTAACTATCAGCATTTATTTTCCAAGCACAGCATCAAATTAGCGCCTGAAAGCTGTGAATGCTGGTGTATTTACACCCAACTACGTCATGGGGGTGTCAGTTTGAGAGCTTAAAATTTGAGTAGCAATGTGTTTAATTTTTCACAAGCTTTACATTATGACGGCTTCTGTCAGTGGTGCCATAAGTTAGCACAGTAAAAATGCCTGTCTTCTATTTTTTGGCATGACACTCAGTGCTTTCTGAGAATTAGGTTGTACACTTAAGCTCAAACTTATTTCTGCCCCTTAAGTTAATTATAGAGTAAGTAAAATTTTTATTCTCAGTCAGACTCAAATCAGGATTCTGACTGGGTCAATCTAAAACGTCAGTATTGGTGAAATATTAAAGATTACTTTAAACCTAAATCTGCCGGGGGTATGAATATGTTGGGGGTTAGCTTTGTGTTTTGAGCGGTGCAATTTTAGAAACTCGCCCAGAGAACTGGACGCTTCCACTGGCGCCATTTAGAATTTGTTAGAAACACAAATTGGCTCAGCTTGGTAGCACTGCCTCTAAGAGAATGGGTTGAGTGGGGCATTTAGTTGTGGCATAGGTTTGACTGCCAAAGTTGTGAGCTCAGCCTGTGTGCCCTGACAGCCAAGCAGATCATCTGCTCATATTTTTGGCTTCATAGGATCTTCATGTCGCCATGTGTGTGAATGTGTGTGTGAGAGATCTTTTCATCCTTGGTCTGTCTTTCACACCCTCGATGTGCAGAGAGCGGTGACTCACTTGCATGTGTGTGTAAAATGGGTTTTGGATCAGCTGTACTTGCAGGGCCTGACTTGTGACATTCTCCTGGCCTTCACACTTTTGGCATTTTGAAACGTGTGGATGTTTTGACCATCATCTCGGTGACCAAAACAGCCCATTTTAGTCCTGTACGTCTCATGCCTGAAATGATTAATTCTCCAAATAAGAACAGAATATAAGCAGATCTTTATGTATATATTTAATTTATAAGATAAAATACAAAAAGGGAAAATATAAAAACATGATGGGAAGCCTCCGTCTGCACAGTCATGTTATCAAATTGTGGGCTGAGATTTAACAACTACTCGCACATCTTTAAAACTACGAATAGTAAAAAAATTGCTAACTTAACCTGGAGGTGGGGAAATCAAGAAAGGCTGAAAATAATAAATGCAAAAGTTATTGAGTAATAATGTTAGCAAACAATTGTGGCACAAGTTACTGTGGCACTCCTACAGTTCATTCAATGAAGTGAACAGCAGCAGTGTCCAAAAAAGATTCACCCCATGTCAAACTACTTTGTTTTAAAATCTCTATGTTTTTTTTTTTTTTATTAAAGGGCTTTTTAATACCAAATTCAAACGCTCTTTGTTTTTTTGTGTGTTTTTTTTAATTGGTTATTCATTCAATATGGTACCAAGGAAAAATCTAAATATCCCAAATTAAAATCCAGTGCAACCAACTGCATTAATAGTCACCTAATCAGAAAATAACGTCCAACTTTGAATCATTCAATCTCTACATAAACACAGCTGCTCAGACTATTCATACTTTAGAAAGGCACAACAAGCCCTGCAACATATCATCTGTTGTGATCTATTCTTTCCACTCAGTCTGTAATCGATGCCTGTTGTGCCTCTTCTATTGCTATTTATAGCCTATGTAGTATAATCTATAGAAGGCTATATTGTTAAATATATTTATGGGTTGGAATCCATTAATAGCACTGACTCTACAGTCTAACATTTTAACAGCTGTAGTGCACATTGATGATAAATCTGTGCTTCTTGTTTGGGCACATCCATGGCTCATAAAGCCTGATGGGGTCAACCATCAATATATCGAAGAGTTCACCATAATTTTCCCAAATCAGCATGTCCTATTATGCTTCTAAATGTGACCCTTACTGCTCATGGGCCCCAAGTAAAAATATTATCCCTCAAATTATAAAATCTTAAATTCAGAATTTTTTTCATCAGCATTAAACTGCATTTAATTACATCCTAAGTTTAACTTAACAATCGTAGCGATAATCTGAACACATTATAGAACTAGGTCAAGGGTCTGCAACCTTCAGCTCAGGAGTGGATCTGTGAACGTTTTATTTTTGTTTTTCAGCTTTTTCCTGCATTAATTGTATTTTCACAAATTCCACTAAAAATACCGGTAGTCTTTATTTACATCTATCTGTTGTTATTAGGCTGGAAAATATATGAAACATCATCTTCCCATATAAGCGAATGTAGCACACAGGAAGCATTTAAATTGATTACACTGAGAAGTTGAAAATATACAGTCATTAAAGCAGCTCTGAAAGTCACAGGCTGCTGTGGTTTGTCATTCTTTTCTATTTAAAGCATACCTGTCCTCAGCTTCCACTATCAGCAGCTCAGGTTCTGTGCTTCCTTCAAATGTGCTGTCAGAACACTTGTCTTGTTTTGCAGACAACATATGTCTAAGTGTGGCTGCAGGTTGCACCGATAATTTTTTAAAAAGGTGTTGAAGTTCTTGATGTTTTATTTGCAGCAGTATTGATTATGGGTGTTAGGCAAGTGAGCTAAAAGTCTGTTTAAACCTAGAGGAGTCTCCATGTGAAATGGAGAGGATGTGTGAACTCCTGTCAAACCCAATGTGGCCCATAAGAACATTCTCTGTGTTGTCAGCGATGGGCGTATTGCTAAGCAACAAGTTATAAAAATAAGTGTTCCCTTTAACTAGGCCGCTAGGGGAAGCTGTAAATGTTCTCACCGTGATGCAGCATCTTGTGTCAGTTCTGAAAGCTGTCCTTGTTAAATGGTAAATTCAGCCTTTGAAATTGTAGATTCCTTTGATATAAAGGTTACGGTTTAACCTATTTCCTCGCATAACAGTTTAGCAAAGCTTTTCGGACAGACTGATCAGTGCAATAATTCAGCTTACGAAAACATAAAAAAAATACTTGTAAACTTGCTAAGAGCCAAAATTGGATGGGAAATCACAGATTTTCCATCTAATTTTACATACAGTGCATATTTAAAATATACTTGTAAATGTAAGAGATTTAAATGTAGAACTTATAGTTTGCCTGCTTAATTCAGCAAAATATTTGTTCATTAACTTTATCTTTAACTTTTTTTCCTGATTTAGTAAAAGTTACCTTATCCAAAGCTTAAATAGTATATTTTTTTCTTGCCCACTGAATAGGCATGTATTGTCAAGTCCATAAATATTAGGTCAGAGAAAACTTTTAAATTTTGTTCTTAATCAACATCACAATGAATGTAAAATAATCAAACTAAGATGCAGTTGAAGAGCAGAGTTTATGCTTTTATTCTGTGGGTTAAATCAAAAAATTGTCTAAAAAATATGAGGAAATAAAACTTAACTTTATATGCAACATTTTCCTTTTCATTTGATTTAAATCAAATAATTCAATGTCAAAGAATCATTTCTAATACTTGGTTGAAAATCCTTGGTTGGAAATGAAAGCCTAAAGTCTTGGTCTTATAGAGGTCACTCCATGTCAAATTTCCTTCTGTTTAATGCCCTTCTCAGCTTTTACTGCTGTGGCTTTGAGTTGTTTGGACTAAGATCAAGTGACTGACTTGCTCTGTAAGCATATTCTACATTTTCGCTTCAACAAACTCCTGAGTTGCTTTGGCTGTGTGTTTCCGGTCATTTTCCATCTGAATCCTGAAACTCTGCCCAATCAATTTGACTCCATTTCGCTGGATTTAAGCAGACAGTACATCTCAAAATTCATTCAGCTCCTTCTGTCCAGTGTCACATCGTCAATAAACCAGTGAGCCAGGGCCAATGGCAGCAATGCACATTCAAGCCATTTCATTGCCTCTGCTGTAATAAAGTTTACTTTGGGTCATGACCTGTTCCACTCCTTCTCCATGCTATTTCTTGCCATCATTCTGGTAGATGTTGACCATGGTTTTATTTGTTCAAAGAATGTTCTGCCATGTTGGTTGGTGTTTTAAATGTTTTTTCTTAATAAAGTTCAATCTCGCCCTGATGTTCTTGAGGCTAAAGATTTGCTTGGATTTCTGTATTTACTTTCATTCAGTCTTCTCTCTTTTTTGTTAATTTAGCATATATTGATACACCTACATTCTGGTTGATCACTTTGTTGACTGTTGTGAGGAGTCCTTCTTGATAGAATTGTGTTTCATATTAAATAATGTTTTTCCAATCAGTAGATCAAATGGTCAACATTTAAATTCAGCCAGTAAGTTAGACAAAATTGCTTTGCAAAATAAAGTTTGGAGTGTCTTGTTTGCCTTAGTTTAGGAGTGCTTCTCCTGCTCTTCATACTCAAAGAGTGCATCTAAATAAGAAACTTAATGTTGCCATTTGCATTTGCAGCACCATTGACCACTTGGAAGAGGAGGAGTGGAAATATGCTGATAAAACAAGGACAATTAAAAAGCATCCACTTAAGCAATCAATTAAGATTCATTAGTAGCAAATATGAATCATGTAGACGACAAGTAGAGAGGCCATGGTGCTCTTTCGCTTTGTATCAAGCTTGAAGTATCCCCCATTAGTAATAATTGGTGCCACTTTTACATAATCTTTAAGTTGTGAAGGGGGAGAAAAAAAAAGAAGAAAAAAATGCTCTTTTTCACATGTCTTCAGTGTCAGAAGGGAGATGAAAAACAGTTTTAACCTCGGCGTGTTGGGAAAGGCAAGCTTGTGGGTGTGGAAGCAGGGGAGGGGGTCTGAGGGGCTTCTAAGTGTTAAAGAGTAATGGGCTGTTGTTGTGATCTGAGGGAGCACATGTCTCTCTGGCACAAAGCATATTTCTTACCACTGTTGTTGGTAATCCTAATAATAACAGCAAGTCGTTTGCATTGTTTCTCCGCAGCTCTCTCTGTCTCAGCTGGCAGCTACTTCACGCCACCCGACCATCAGCCACTCCAGCTCGGCGTTACCGTGGCAACAGTCATTTCCTTCTCTGCTCAATCCTTCCCCATTGGCATCAGCCCACCAGCTGTCACATGTCGTAAGATTTCCACCCCCGTTCCCTTACACACACACACGCACGCACGCCAACACGCAGTCGTGGTCTCGCGCTGAAACTTCACATACATGCCAAAGGAAACACACAAGCATTTAACAAAGACAAGCATTTACAGGTTTGACATTTCTACACAAAACACGCTAAACGGTTTGAATATCCTCAAGACAATGGAGGGAGTGATTGAGTTCAAGCACACAGAGCCTTGCTGAAGTGTTCACATGCCTTGACATTTTTCATATTTTGTCATGTTGCAACTGGAAACACAGCTTTTTTCTGTTTTCTAGGATGCTGTGTGACAGACCGCTATTACAGCTGCAAGTTTTTAGAGTACGTCTCTTGTGTCTTTGTGAATTGAGAAACTGAAAGTTTTGTCCATTATTCTTTGTAAAATAGCTCAAGATTAGTCAGACTGTATGAAGAGCATTTTTCATTTCACAGATTTTGACAGAGTTGTGCCACAAATCTCGTGATCTCAAGATTTACTCTCTTTTTCTGTTTTCAGCATTCGAGATGAATATTATTAGTTATGTAATTTTTTATTATCTTTATGTAAATTTTACCTTGCTATTTTGTGAGTTAATCTATAAATTCAAGCCGGTTTTGTGACATCGATAGATTTATTTCTGGGTGATCTAGGATAACTTAATGATGCACATTTAAAATGATGTTACAAACTACAATTCCTAACAAGCTCAATGAAATGAAGGGCATCCTGTTAATGCACTCAGCTCATATATTGTTGCAAAGCCGAGGTAGTCAGCTGCACTGTGTGGATTTTAATACCTCTGGTGAATAATTTACTGGAATGATGCAGGAGTAACCTGCTCCCTGCTGTTGTGGGTGTTTGCTGCTGAGAATTGGCTAGGACTCATTTTGCCTTTGAAAGCTGCCTTGTCTCTGCTAAATTAGACCATGTTCCCCCACAATGATGCACATATTTGGGAAGTGATGCAGAGCACGATGGAAACAGTGGTGCAATCTCACAAAGTGAGGAAAGATGAAGTAACCAGACACAGACATGGACACAAACACACTTATTCTAAACTGATTATTGAGAAATATATACATCTCTTTAACTTTTCACTTTTTTTTTCACATATACAAAAAGTCCACCATTTATCATTTTCCAAAAGTGTGCATTTTTGAATGAAAACAAAAAAACAACTGCTCTCTCACCTGGGTATATAGAGACAGAGAGACCTCATCTCAGGCGTGGGTCCTTATGTTACCTGGTCCTAGGATTGTGCTCTTCAGGACTGCAATGACAGATGTTTCTCCAGGTATTTGTTGGAGCTCCGATGACCACGGCCACCTCTGTTGCCTCCACTTGACAGCTTGTCCCCAAGCCTTGGCTGTTTCTCCAGTTTCTCCTTTTTTCTAATGTTTCCATCACTTGAATGACCACATGAATCACGACTGTCCGCTGCCGCGTATCAGTGATCACCTGGTTGGCCCATTGCCATTTTGTCCGTTTGTATCTGAAAGTCCTCAAGGGTCTTAGCTCGGTCATTCTCCACCACCTTGGGAGATGGTTTCCACTTTGACCTTGGGATCTCCAGTTCATATTCCACACAAATGTTTCTGTACCTGGCATCAGCCACTTGGTTATAGTGTTTCATGCTTTCCTTCCATGCTAGTATCTTACAGACTTCAACCTACAACCTTCTGTGAGATGTTTACATTTTTCTGGGGCTTCTTTGCACAGCCTGCATTTGATATCTTGGCTGGTGTTGTAGATCTCTGCTGCCTTTCAGTCTCTACCCATTGGTAGGATTTGGTCATATCAGTCACTTCAGCTATCGAGAGGTGGTACTTCCTAATCAGCAGTTCGTCTTCCCAGGATGGTTCTTTCAGCTTCTTCTCTTCCAGTTTTTATTGTCTGCAACATTCACCAAGCTCTTCATCCCTTGGGATCTTCCTGATGTATTCTTGGAACTTGGATATTTCATCCTGGATGATGACATTCACTTGACCTCTATATAAAGGGTACTATTAGTGGACTAGTGTAAACTAGGAAGCTAAGCATCTTGAGCTGTGGATGATCAGTCTATTATTCTATATGTAGCCCAACTGCATATCTATAAATACAAGGCTTGGCAAAGGGAGTATTAATTATAGAAGCATTAAATTAAGCAGACAAAGGCAGCTCTGGATCTTTTCACAGATCCTCTATTCATTTTGAATAAGTGGAAAACATGGTTTCGGGATAATTATTAATAGCTTCTTTCACAATACAAGCCTTTATGGAAGAGCAGCAAGAAGAAAACCACTGTTCGAAGAAAGCCAGCATCATCTGATTGAAAATGTAGAAAATCTTCCAGATTCATTCCCTGATGAGGTTTCAGAAACACCGACATCCCTCATATTAAGGCTGCAAAGCTGCATGGAGCTGAAGGCATAAAGTGTTGACATGAGTGAAGCAAATAGATGCTGATCCTTATATCCAACTGGATCAGTTGTTTGTCTTGTAAAGGAGGACAAATGTGTGCATAGATAAAGGACTAAAACAGACAGTTTGGGACTAAACAAAGGCAGGGGAATAAACCTGCTGGTAAAAACTGTCAAACTCAACATTTTTACAAAACGTATTCTGCTATCGATCCAGCTGTAGTGTCTTAACTAATGTTAAAAAATACTATCTGTAACAAAAAAAAAAGACAACAAAAACCCCAGACATTATCCAAAATAGTCACACTTTCATCTTGGCAGATAAAAGTTGGACTAGAAATTTAAGCTAGATAAGGTCTTCTGGCAGTCCTCCTCACAGCACGACTTGGTCTTTGTGAGCCAAATTCAATTGTATTTCTTTTTTTGCAATATTGTGTTCCTGATTATTCTCTTATCTTCAGCAAGACTCATTCGCAGTTCCTGGATTATTCAGGCAATATGATTCATAGCCTAAGCTGTATGGATTTCAAGCATAATGGATGGGAGAAACATAATAAAAGAGCTGCTGTCTAGTTAGAAAACCCATTTCAAGTTGTACTGCAACACAACACCGCCTTTGCTGTCTAAAGTGAATAGAAAGGAGGAAAAACAACATTTCTCATTGCAAGACGTTTTGTATCTATTAGATGAATTGCTAAGATAATATTTTGCTTTTGGTAAATTTCCTTGGACTGCTACAGTTATACCCCACTCATGCTATTATAAAATGCTAATTAAAAGAAATGGATGAATGAACAGAAGTTGATGCACCCAATGCCTTTTTCACTGTGAGGCACTATAGTTGGCCAAAAAACATATCTTGTTTAATTTTACTTGTTTATGACAAGCTGATTTTGTGTTTCCAGTGAGAATTTTGGTTTCTACATTAGAGGTAACCCAAAAGCTAATGGTTGATAAAGCTACTATTTGTCTTCATTATCTCTCTATAGATCATTCTTGATATGGCCCAAATTCCAGCTGTTTACCTATGGCAGTGGAAGAAGGATTAATGTTTGCACTAAAAAACAAACATTATTTCTTGTCTGTGAGCTCCCCTCTCACGTTGAGCTAAAAATCTATACAGGCTATGTATCTACATACATTATTAATGATTTATCATTTCTTAATTTGCGACAGAAGCACACACATATGAGATGTATTTAGGATAGCAATCCATAAATGTTCAATACTATTAAGTCATATTGAGAACTGAAGCTGTTGTTTTCCTGTACCAACACAATGGCAACAATGCAAGAAATCATTAAATGTTTTTAATATCTTAGCTGCTATGAATTGTATATAAAGTCAATTCAAAACTAAAGTGAACGCACAATTCTGACACCGCTATACAAAGGCAGCGGTAATTTATACATTGCTTGCATAAATTACATTTAAGAATATTTAATCAAAAAATAGTGTTCAGAAGGGAAAATATTCCCAGTAAAAGCTTAGTGTGACTTCCTTAAGTGGAGCACAAAATATACTGCCACTTATTATGCAGACAATTATTACAAAAAAGAAACATAAACCTTAATCATTTTAAGTCCTACATGTTACCTCAGAAGCTGTTGTGTAGACTCCCATTAATAATTTGTGTTTCTATTGTCCCCAGAAACAAGTAGGTTGGAGGTCAAAGGCTTGAGTGAAATGAGCATAATATAGAATGGACTTTTTACAGCATTTGTAATCATGAATATAAAGAAAAAAACGATGTTCTTCATATGGAATAATCCATTTAAATAGTCTGTCTAATTTATGTGATGGGTGTTTTTGCCAGGGCACCTGCTGTATGTTAAAGCCCCATTAAGATGTCTCTGTGAAACTGAGCAAGAGGCGATTAGTGGAGCTGACATTTTGCAGTGGAATTAGAAAATTGTGGAGACAAATATGAATTCTTCCTATGCACCCTCCACTAAAATAGAAGGCGTATACAAAAAAACATATAGTCCTTCCTCTGCTGTTGTAAAATTATGCTCTGAAACATACAGTACTTTGGAAAAGCTTCATTGTATTTTTGTGATAGATCAGTTCAAATTCTTCATAGTGATAAAGTGAAAGGGAAATAATTCAAGTTTTTTGTTGTTTTTTTTGGGGTTTTTTTTACAAACAAAAACGTGGCATGTACACTACTCATCTGCACTAAATCTATACTGGAATGTTAGACTATTGTTATTGGAGCTCACTCTGATTGTAATGATCAATTTCCAAATCTTGTCACATCTGAACTTTAACTGGGCCATTCTAACATCTTTCATCTAAACTCTTCCATCATAGCTCTGGTTGTAGGTTTGTTGTGCTCGGTGACCATTAGAGGTGTTTCCACTTCTACTGGTCTTTTGTTTCCAGTGTATTGATCTTCACCAACCTTCACAGTAACAATAACCAGTTTCTCTGTTGAAGGAAAAGATGCACAAGGCATAATGCTACCTATAGCTAATTGTTTTATATGTCGATTAGAAGCAAAGTTTTAGTCTCATTGATCCATATCACATTTTTTTATTTAATTTTTTTCAGCTAACTACAATGTATCTAATTACAAAAATGTGAAAACAAAGTATTAGTTTATTTCCACTCAACAATTCAACCCTTTGCTTTTACTATCACATACAATTTTAAAAAACATATACGAGTTTGACTTATTAATTGGAAGAAATGTGAGAACGTTCTAAGGCTATGAATACTTCTCCACCTTGGTTTGTAATATTTTAGTGAAACGTCTTTGAGTTCCTGAAAAATATTTGACGCAAATCCAGACTCACTAAACTGGAATTTTGGCAATGTAGAAGAAACATGCGAACATTCATATGAAGACACACGAATCTCAGCTGTATAGTTCAAAGTGATGTGCTGCAAGTAAAATTGGAATCTGACCAATAACTTTTAGGATGCAGCAAATATGATGAAACTGCTTCCTTTACTTCTGACATCCTGTGGTTTCCTCTAAGCTTCTTTTTCAGAAGAGATAAAATGTCAGACCACATTTTTTATTGTTGAATTTATTTGTTTCCTTTCAAAGACAAAAACGTAATTAAATACAATTAGAGGCACACAGAAATCAGCCTAACATTGGAATCAAACAATTATGCTTGATCGACTGAATTTTATGTTTTCCTTTTCATTAATTTATAAAAAAATCAGTAAACAGATAAACTAATAGAATGTAAAATTATGTTTTTTTTATTTATTTGAAATTCAGATTTTGATCAAGTTTTAATTTATTCATATTCTAACCTGCTGAATTTAAAATTACTACATCCAAGTAAGTAGAAGTACATCACATGTCCTTGGAATAAGAACATCAGGGTCAGTCAAAATCAAACTTTATAGAAAACTAGGAAAACCTTATTGCTGCATCTTCATTTGTTTATTCTAGATGATAATTAGAATCAGAGCAAACATTGATGAGGACCAAGTAAACCCAGACCAGAGTAAGCCCCTTACCGCCTTCTGTGACACGTGGCTGCTGTGGTTAAAAGATTCGTATTTCCACTGTAAGCTCAGGCAGTCAGAGCATCAGGGAATTTCCAGAATCAGTTTTGACAAATCCACTACAAGCTCTTTACTTATTGCCTCGTTCTTTTAATCCAGGCCTTCATAGCCCAATTTTACTTTCAATGAATCCAGTTGTCAGCTGTGTTTAGCAAAGTTGTCCTGGTTTTTATTTATCTTTTTTTGTGATTGTACTGCACTGAGTCATTTCTTTATGACTCATGTGACTTTGCCTACACTGTTGTGTGATTGGCTTGTAATTAGATAATAGAATTTGCTTTATGCCATTCTAAGTGATGAGTGTGAAAGTGAACTTAATTAATGGGGAATAGTCTGACTTATCAGTGCGGATAAACAGAGCTGGTTCCTGATTTTCTGCCATGCTGCGGCAGTTCTGCTGCATTAATCCTATTTATTGCATTATTTATAGATCCTTGTGTCTTTTTGTAGGCCTGCTTGGCTGTCAGCAACATCACCCACCTAGAGATGGACCTTCAGCGGGAAGGCGGCAAAATAACCTCCACGGACGAAGAAGGGGATCATCTTCAAGAGCTGCCCTTCACCCCTATCCATGCTCCTGTCATTACTCTGGGAGTGAATGTGCCGAGGTGAGGTGTTCATGTTGTGTGTCCCCGATTGTAGTGGGATTTAATGCCACTTAAATTCACCAGGCCAGTTTGGCTGACGGTGTCATCAACTGATTAAAATTCATTAAGGAATAGTTAAATATTCCAAATCAGCATCATGGAATGACACTAAACTCTATGCATGATAAATGCCAAATGACCAAAGACAAAAGCAATGTTCTGTCATTTTCACATAACCTGGATCTTCTGTTACTTGGTTTTGGTTTTGAGAGTTTTCCGTTTTTAAAGGACACATCTATTTCTTCCCAGCCATCCATGTTTGTTTACTCTGAGCTCATGTTCGGTCTCAAGAGATTTTTGAGTTTTCCCGTCTGACATCTGACTATTGGTGAGGGAAATAAGTTTGTGTGTGGTGTGTTGCTCCTGCCGTGTGGCTTGACACCACACAATGTCCAACCAAACCTGTTGTACCCAAGACTTTTTATCACCATGTGTGGAATCGATAAGGTCTTGAAAGTTTGCCAGCAATTTAAAAATTCTGCCATTTGAATCAGGCACAAGGCCAAGCATTTAGCCCTCAAATTCTCCAAGCTGGTCTGATGTGTAGTAAAGGATTAATGTGGGAAGATTCATCTCATGCCTACTGACAGGTGACAGCAGGATCATCAATATCTGTGTGTGAACTGTGAATTTGTTGAAAAACAAATTCTTAAAATTGGATATTTTCCCCCACTGGATAATTTTTATTTCAACTGAAAGTTAAGTATAACTTTCAATTGTTGATTGATAGATAAATAAATGAATTGATACATGAATAAATAAATAGGTTTGATTTGACATCAACTTCTTAAAAGTCTATTTTAATAAGTTTCTGTCAAATCAATCCTGCTGCAATAACAGATTATTGAATAACTCCTCCCACAAATTTATTACAGATGGCAATAAATGTGGTCAGTGCTGTAAAATAATGTGGAGAGCCTCCACCCTTCAGGCCATAGAAAATAGAAATCTTAAATAACCTTTTTAGCGAGTACTCAATTATGGAGGATCACGTTCGTCGTCATCTCTCAAACTCAGTGGAAATTAAACATTGTCCTCTGCAATCCAAGGCCAACTGCTGGTCCAAAACTAAACAAAAGTATTCTTCTCTTGATATTGTTGGCCTAATTATAGCTAATGCCTTTTTTGCCTCCTAATAAATATTTGTTATTCTTGGGTTATAATACATCTCTTTTTCCTCCTGGTTTTAATCTTTGCTACAGTTTCTGGAGTTCATCCATGTGAATCTTGTAGTTTCAGCTTCATATAGAAACATATTAGTTTTTAAAAAATATATTTCTGAATTTACCCCCCTATTTTATGTACTTTCCCCCCTCATATGTGAATACTTACAACAATTGTTTTTCTATGCTTGTTGAGTTAGTTTCCTGAAAGAGAAAGTACACTTTACAAATAATGAGCCTAGACACAGAGAAACAAAGCCTTGCATTGGTGAGCAGCATCTGTAAATAAGAAGCTGGCACTGAAACAATTTCCCAATCCCAGCATTTTGGATCCAGACACCATGTTGTTCAGTTCAGCGAGCTGAAACATTGTTGCCTATTCACTCAGAGCCAGAACATCTTTTTGACTGTTTACAGGCTGAAATGACCCACTTTTTGGAGAGGAACAATAAAGTCAAAAGAAGTTTAATCCAAGTTGCTCCACATATCAGATAGAGCCCCTTTTTGAAATAAAGATGACAGCCTGAATATTAATCCAGAGTGACTAAATTAAGAGAGAAGTTTTAAAAAATGGGAAAGTGACATAATGCATGAAATTGATGCAGCTGTGGAGAAAAACACAATTGATTCCCCTTGTCACTGCTGTCATCCTGATTAGTTTGATCAAGGCTTCTGTCTTTTGACATTTTTAATTACTGTCTCAACTATTTACCAAATGGACTCCGACCGTGTTAGTGCTATGACATTATTGCTCATTTCTTATGCCTGCACTTTAGCCAGCCATCTGTGTGCTGGATTTATCACAGCCATGGCATTCCAAGTCGGTGTTAAAAGTATAAGTTATGAATGTTACCATAGTTTTGCTGAAACAGGTGGCCACTATGATTAGTGATAACTGGCAATTATGCTTGAAAATCCTGAGGGAGCGTTTTGGCACCCACCCGGTCCCCCTGTGTTTCCTTCCCCTATAACTATTATCCTAGAGCTGCTGTTTGATGGATATTGCTGACATCCGTATGCTGTCTAATCATCGTTTCATCACATTTATGTTTAGTGCAGACGGATATTGCAACTCAAGTTTGGTTAAACGGGATGAAGTGACAAAGCTGACGTTATCGCTCAAACGATAAACATCTTGTATTAGAAAGGATGCGGGATAAAACGGTGAAAGGTCTGAATTGATAAACAGGTGTTGTATTTTACCCAGCTCTCGTCATTTTTCCTGTCTCATTTGAAGTAAATCACCTTAATGAGGCCTGTGCAGCAGGGAATCAACACATTACCTCCTGTTGTTTGTCAAGCGTCAAGAACACATTTGAAGATGTCTGTGTGCCATGCTCCAACAGATCTGACATTTTCCTTTGATGATTTTTCTCCAGCTCCTGCTCAGTCAGCTCCAGGAGCTCTCTGGCACACCTTTTCTCTGCCGGCTTTCCTGAAATCCTTGACTGCAGCGGGCAGGTGGCAGAAGTCCTGGACCCAACTGAACCTATGCCCTTCGATCCTCAGCGGGAGGAGGCTGACCTTTTACAGGGAAACCTGCTGGTGTTTGAGTTTCTGGCATTTACCAGGTGAGGTTTGCAGTGCTGTGTCACATACAGCAGCACTGATGATGCTGACTCTTACCAGCATCCTGTGTCCTCCTGAACTGTACAATACGCACACATTATTCTCTCCGTATTCAGCACACGGATTGAGATAGGTAAAAAAAAAAAAAAAAGTCAATTTTGTCACATTAGAAAAGCAACAAACTTGACAATAATTTAGAGTTTTATGTAACTAACCAACATCCTCCGCCCCCCCCCCCCCCACACACACACACACAAATTATGAAGTCAAATAAGAAACGACAGATGAAATTCACTTTTAAAGTCAGGGCGTAAAAGATTACCAAAGATATGGTTTTTACATATTTGTTAAAAGTATTATGTCATGACAGATAAACTGTGAAAAGATTGAGCTTCTCCACCTCTGCCCTGTGTTATTATTAATATCTGAAGAAATGCACCACTCCTGGTCAACCAATCAGAACCCAGAGGAGCATCTTGCTTTGAGTTATGAAGATGCTAAACATGGATGCAGACTTTATTGTTGTCAGCATATTAACAACTTAATCCTGGTCATTATCTGCCCTGGTTGTTGTTTGTCTTCCTGCTTCTGCATATCCGGGTGCAGAATAGTGACCTTTGTGGAGTATCGATGGCTTACAGGTCGGTTGAATGTGCCCTGGCCACACAGAAGCAGGTCATATATGGAAAAAATCTGATATTTATATAGTTTTTCTCTTCTCTCAAAAATCTATTTTCTATACCATAAGCATCCATAAAAATACCTCTTTAAACACAAAACAGGCAATGTAAATAAAAATAACAAGAAAGTAGGTACATTATTTTTGTAATGATGTAACACTCTACTGAGTCAATATACTTCTTCATACATTGATCACATCTTATATTTTATTATTTTCTTAAAAGTAAAAATTGATCTTCTCTCTTTGGTTTCTTCAGACGGATTGTTCCACAGATTTGTTCCATAAACAGAAATACAATATTCCATTTGTTTTGTTCTGACGTTGAGTTTTTCAAAACCCAAACAATTAGAGCACACATTTGTTTCCATCCTTTAAGCTATTGGGCTTTTATCTGCATTGAGGAATTGATATTGTAGCTGGACATTTGTTTGAAAGATAAGGATAATCCCTCACATCTTGCCTAAACACCTTAATATTTCTTTATATATTTATTTTGTCTTCTACAGAGAGACTTCAATTCACATAAGTCCTCCACAGTCCTGCCTGTCAATTACATACCCGTACATGGAATGTATGCTCTGTATTACAGAGGCGCCATATTTCCTGTCAACTCAGGCAGAAGAGCACCTCTGTCATTGTCCCATCAGAGAAACCTATGGAGTAGTCGTCCCATCTGACAGGGCTGACAGTGACAGGGGGCTGCTGAGAGATGTCAACAAAAGCCTTCACTCTTTGTGTAGTTCCATCAGCAGTCCTTTTCATTTGTCTTGGTTGTCACTGTCTCATCAGCGCACTGCTTTGACTCCTCGTACCAACCTCAAAACTGTGCACCTTTTCTCCGATTAGAGGCTTGATACATGAAACTATTTGCATTAGTTATTTGTGGATCTTTGGATTTATGCCGTTTCTGCTTGGAACAATTACAATCAGAACCTCTGACTGACACACTAACACGTGGATCATTGACATTACACCAGCCTCATATTCCCAAGTTAAATATTCAGATTGAGGGCTGAGTTTTATATGTCAAGTGCTTTATGTTTCTGCAGACTCTTTTGAGTCTGAAACTGCATGTTTAGGTCGATAAAATGTCTCAGCTTGCATGATTGATCACTCTGTCCAAAGTGCTTGTGGTGCATTCTTTAATGACATGTTGCTATGCACTATTATGGAAGTTTGGAGAGGAATGGCACACAAAGATCCCAAAGACTAATGAGGCATTTTTAGAGATTATGAACTCTTTTTTTTTTTTTTTTTGCTTTCTCTTAATAATTTTGATTATGGCATGTATTCATAATTGCATATTGATTTGTAACTACAATGTTAATGATGACTACAGTTTGAAAGTATTCAATTTCTTTCACCTTTTCTTTAAATTTCAACCTCAAACTTTCACATGTTTCACATGGTAAAAATGTGAGTAGTTTTATATGGTTGTGTTCTTTTGTAGCCTTTTACAATGTGAAATGTTGGAGTTCTGCAAATGCTTAGCCATCCGCTGTATTGCTGAGACTATTACAATTTGTTGCTTTTGTGCAAATTAAAACTCATGATAAAGTTTAACTTCCTAGCTTTAGTTTTACACTAGGACCAAAGCAAAATGCCTGTAAAAAGTATGACTAATGCAAAAAATGTTGAAGCTTGGTACAATACATTTCATAGATGTGTTATTTGGTATAAACCTATTGCATAGTTAAAAAAGAAAATACTATTTCTTTGTTGATGTGAGTGCAGTCGGGCTTGGATTCCATAAAGGCTCGCAATTTAATCACATCCTCACTGCAGGCAAGGTGAGAAATTTCAATTCTGGTATTGTTAAAGTATAACAGCAAATGTTTAAAGCCTGTGGGTAACTTACAATATTCTCACATAAAAAGCTGAAGATGGTGCAACAAAACACAGTATGGATTTCTATCTCAGATTTAATGACGCACTGGTAAGAAAGCTGATTGAATTCTTCAACTTCTTTTTCAAAGCATTCTGGAGTGCTACCTCAACCCACACACTCAAGCTTACAGTTAATTGCAGATCTCTGTGCTTCTCTGTTGAGTGGGGCAAGGGTGGGTTAGCTACCTCATAATTATGACAAACAGGTATGGCAGGCATTAGTTGTTACTGTGCAGCAGTATCACTGAGACAAGCTAGGACTCACTCTGCTGCCAAGCGTTGTTATTTTCTTCCTGTCTCAGGTTTTATGATTACGAATCGCATCGTTCAACAGGATGCATCTCCACTCTGAATCTGCTTTTACAATGGACCATGGCGTCCAATTTTTAACAGGCTGTCTTTGGATTAACTTCCACTTTAAACTGTGATGTTCTAACCGCCTGTTTATTTTCGGTGCTGCTCCCTGCTTTACTTTTTTCTTTTAAAAATAATTATTAAAGCTCAAATCTGTTTCTATTCATCAGCTGAAGCAGCTGAGCTTTTTTTTTTCCTGAGTGTATTTGTCTTTTTCAAGAATTCACTGCTTAAAGTTGCTTTTTGCAAGCTCACCGGGAGTCTTTTCAGGTGAAACTTAATATTGAAGTGTTGCATTGAAAATTTGCAACAGTGTGTGAAATTGCACTCAGAGGGAGGCGTTTGTGTGAAAAGCAATACAAACTGCTGGGATTTTCTTAGTCTCAAAGGCCTCTTTTTCCTAAATGTGATTCTTTCAAAACAAAAGAAGGATTTCATTTGTATGAACTTGAATGGAGGTACAGTTGTGCACAGGCTTCTGAACACTATTTCCTCTTTTCCGTTGCACAAAATATCCCTATAATAAGATTTTAAAGCCATTTTATTTAGTGTTTTTTCATCAGAACTCTCTTTTATAAATCATTTTCTGAAATACTGTTTACTCTGAGTAATATATGCTTTTTTTTTCTTTTTTACATAGTTTTTGTCAAAAAATAATTACTTTTTTTTCTATCTCAGGAATCCATCACATCTGATTACAATCTATTTTTACATATTTTAAAGTATTTTACATATTTGTGTTCTTTTTACAGAATACCAGGAGCAGGAGTTGAAGGCGACTGGCCTCGCAATGTCTATGTTACCTTCCAGTTTTATCGCTTTCCACCTGTCACCTCACAGCAACTTAAGCTGTTGACCAGCGATAAGGTTCGACCCAAAGCTAATGAGGCACTTCCTTGTGTCTTAGCCACTATCAACAAAGACGGATCTGTTAATGCTGGTGAGGATGAAATTCTGAAACTGTGATTTGTTGTTTACATGTATTTTTATGGAGGTCTTTCAGGTCAAGATTGGTGTTTTTGATTCAATAGTTTTTGTCAAAATATCTTTGTGTTTTTGTAATAGTGCTTTCCATGATGTAAGTACTGTCTTTTTTACCTTACCATCAAAAAGCTCCCTGTCCCTGCTCATAATAGGTCAAACCCTTTTGTAATCCCCGACAATGACTAAAAGATTACCATCTCCTCTTTCCTTGTTACCATTGTGCAACAATATCCTCGAACTGTAACGATGTTCAATGGTGCTTCGAGGTTATGCAATGCTCCAACACTTCTCCTTCAGTCAGCTGAGTGAAGTCTGAGTCTATTCATGTAGTAGCTAATGAAATGGAGGAGATATTACAGCTTCTGACAGAGCGTTATATTGAGCACACAAATGATCCTCCCCCACCCCTTTCCACATTACCCTCAAACTCATACACCTACCGATGTCTCCATTCCCAAGACACTCTCCAGTCCAGCTCTGTCAATATTTCCCTGTCTATTTATATTCAGCTGATCATCTGCAGACAAATCCTCGACTGCTGAACCTTTTCTTCCTTATCTTAGGAAAAAACCTCAAAGGTTATGATTTAACAAGATGCTAATTAGTTTTTTGTTTTCTCAGATGTCGATTTCTGATGTCTTTGTTCTTAGCTGCTTTATTTTATTGGCTGCAAAATTAACTTTTTATTTAAAAAATGCCTGAGCCTAAGTCTAATAGACTAATGCATATAAGAGTCTGTAAAATGGCAGAATAAAATAAAAATATTGCAATGCTCTTTATAGAGCTGATGCCTTTGAGTAAACCACACAAGCAACTGAGAAAAGAAGAATTCACAAAAACACATTATAGAAAATCTTCCACTCTTTAGTCTAAGTTTATTGATTTTTCCTGACTCGCTGCCAGAGGGATTTCTGCGTAAACCCAGTCCATCTGGAGTCCAGAGCTTTGTGTTCAGAGATACTGTCCCCTCTGGATATTGTTTGGAAAGCTGTCAGAATTGAATCGGACATCTAAAACAACTTTTAGTCATGTAAAGTTTTCAGAAAAAGAAAATAAAAAAACAAATTGGTAATTAAAAACTTTAAGCATTATCCCTAAATCATTTATATACTTGATCCCTAAATCACTTTTTGTTGTAGTGTATATAAATGTCCCAAATGAAGCTGCTGTACTTCACTGGTTATGATCTGGCAAATTTACACATTGGCAATATGATTGAGATTCTTCTTTGAGGCCTCTAATATTGAGTTTTTGATTTTGTATCGTTTGATGCAATGTCATCTGCTGTTGTTTCCAGGACCTTTTTACTGAGATCAAGTTTTTTTTTTTTTTTTTTTACAAGCATAAAACCTTTCATTCAGTCATTTGCTGACAGCAAACACAGACTGCTGCTGAAATGACTCCTTATTTGACAAGTCATCTACTGAACACAATATCAGTCATTATTCAGCATATTATATTATATAAAACCGTGTATGTTTTAATTATCTTTAAGAAAGTAACACAATAAATAACATAATTCATTTTCTCACTAATTTATCTCATTTATTCATGTTGAAATTTATGTGAAAGGTTCCGATTTAAAGTTAGGCTTATGGATAAAGACTTATATTTATAAACTAGACAATTCTGTGTTGTAGGTATACTACATTGCATGCACCACGGTTTGTGAACACCTGTGGAAGTCAGCGTCCAAAGACTGAATGCATTTCTTTCATGTGTTTCTATATGTGAAAGAGAAATATTTAGAGTGAGATGAGAAGAGAATCAGAGGAAAACCGGCTCAAACTTTTCTTCTTTTAGTTCTATGTTTAAAAACTTTTTAAGTTGAAATCACGTCAAACTCAAAAGTTGAAAAAAGAGAGAACATGACAGAAGTTTTCAAACTTCAAAATGTTTCCTAGAATTGAGGTGGTTCAACTTGGAGAAAGCAGGGATTTCAAACAAGGCAGCAAGTTGTTGACATGTTTCTGACTCCTTCATGGATTCAGATTAGAGATTAGAGTTGAGATATCAGCTCTTGTCTTTAAAATAGCTCTTACATTCTGGAGCATAGGATGAATCCTCAAATCATGTCCTGTGATTTGATACTATCAGTCGAAGTTGAAACAAAAATCAGCTTTGAAAAGACGATTTTATTTATTTTGAGAAAAAATCTATCCCAACCAATGTAACCCCTTTGTAAAAAAGTATTCACTCCCTTTGTCACGACATGAATGAACTATGATGAGCCACATTTATTTGGAAACCTGAATTTAATTTCCCAATACTTCCAAACTTGTTGAAACAAGAAAGTACTTAAAAGAACCAGACAACATGAAAGATCCCAAAAGGCAAAACAAGATGCTCCGACTTTAGGAAATTTAAGAAAGAATGAGAAACAAATTAGTTGATAACCAATCAAAATTGACATTGACTCACTCATACCACAATGGATATAAAAGTATTGCAGGTCTAGTTAATGTTATTGTTCATAATTGAACAACAATAAACCGAATGAGCAAAGGCTGGATGAATGCCAAGTTTACTTTTGAATTTCAAAGGCCTGTCGTACATTTACCAGTAAGTCTCCCCAAACTGTTGTGAAAATATAGACTGACAAAAATCTGACAATATCATTACATCTGGTGTGAATGCAGCACTGCGTCTCATAAAACCAGCATCATGCTGACAATTGAACACTGTTGTGATTGTGAGCTTAAAGCACGACAGAGTTAGGCAGTAAGTCAAAGCACACTGGCAAATCTAAACCCCTGAATAGCTGCAAAAAACCCCAACAAACATCATCATTTTGGTGTGGTCTAATCGAAGTCTTAATTTAAATCCAATTGAGATGCTATAAAATGACCATAAAGAGGTTGTTCATCCTCAAACCCTGCAGTGTGGCTGAATTTTAAATATTCTGCAAAGAGCAGAGGGCCAGAATTACTCCACAGCGATGTGAAACACTCATTGGCACTTATGATAAAAGTTTGATGGCCCGTGCTGCTGCTAAAGATGGCACAGCCAGTATTTAGCTTTAGGTGGCAACTCCTACTGGCCGGGTTGGTTTAGACAGTTTTTTGTCTTTCTAAATGAAATAATTTAAAAATAATTTTGTTTTTATTTTGGTTAACTTTATGTGATATAAAATTTGGTTTGATAATATGAGACACTTAAATGGCGACTATTTTGCAGCTTATCGCTTTTGCTTCCCTCAGTTTTTACTATGCTCCCTCAGAGCTGTTTAAAGTCTAAGTGGGTTAAAATGTTTGCAGCCACTTTGAGGACTAACAATCCCATTAGGGTGTTTGCCTGGCCAAAATAAAATAAGTCTTGTTGGTAGGTAATAAAAACATTGACCATTTAGGCTTCATGGTTATCAAGCTGACAATTAAAACGATTGATGCTTTTTAACTTCTCCTAGTCTGCATTCTTATTACTTTGGATTCATTTGGATCACAGGACACAATGTTAAATAAAAAAAATGCAACATCTGGAAATGACATTTTGTTTCAGTAACATATTATAAACTGTCCCCAGATAGACTGATGTATAAAGGGTTTTATTTCAGAGGTAGAAATAAAAGGATTCCTTAGCTTGTCCCACATAGCTGATTTTGTCTGATCTTGAAGGCGTGTTTGGGGCTTTTTGCTTCTTTCTTTTTTGTACCCTTGTGGGGAATTCAGATTGAAACAAAGCCAGCTTGAGCCACAGACAATGTACCAACGAAAGAGGCATTAAATGTAACCAGCTGGCCTTGTGGGTACATGTGTCGAAAATATAAAACACAATCAGATTTGTGTCACAGGGTAAATGAAAATCCACAACAGTATTTCCTATTTCTTAGGATTTGTAAAACTGTGAGATGTGTGTAAATATTCATTAGAAAGAAAAATTTGTTGCTAATTGAAACCAAACAATTAGCAACAATTGTTTGGCAATTAATTTCTATTTTCCTGACCTTTGGTGATGGCAAACATAGCTGTAAGAGACAAGTTTGTTTTGTCCTTCTTGTTGGAAAAACAAGATTTGTTTGGTCAAAGGGTAACTTTGACATCAGTAATAACTGATACCATCTAAAATGTTGTAAATGCCGCATATGGTTGCTTTTATGGTTCTGATTTCTATGTAAGCTTAAATCTGCCTCACCTTTGTAAAAGTGGAAATGTGATAAATCTTTAGTTGGAAGTACAATTGGGTGAGTCAGACCAGTTTTTAGTTTTAGCGTTCTTTCTATTTTTTCTTTGTCACAACAATTATTCAAAATGGTTATTTGGTTGCAAGAATTGAAAGCTTGATTTGTTGTTTGGCATTCACTCCACTAACTCAATACTTTAGCTCCTTCTGCAGGAATTACAGCATCAAGGCTCCTGTGTGATTCTTCTATGAATTGCCTTAGAACTTTTTGGATGCTGTTTAAAGCAAACCTGCTTCTTATTCTTCACACTGAATAATTCATCAGGGTTATTGATATATTAAAAAATTTAATCTCTGCCTAATTGTTTTTTGGGAGACTGAAGCATGTTGTGTTTCATTCAATAACTTGTTTGGAATTAATTTCTATTTTCCTGACCTTAAGTTAATGGCAAACATAGCTGTAAGAGACAAGATCTCTTGTGTGGTATTAAAAGGCCGGTCTGTTTGTTCTCAAATTGAAGCCAGTCTTGTCCAGTTTTGAAATATTTGACACCTAATAAAATCTAAAGGATTTTCTTTATTTACCTCAAACTATTCCGGCATTCTTGTCTCGTTTTGTTTGATTGAGTCTCATCTCTGAATTGATTATTATATAAATTAAGATCCATCTGATATCAAAGCCTTCTGTAGAAGTCGCATATTAATATCAAAACTTACGAATAGTGTAAAAAAATATTTTTTTGTTACTTATTTCATAAAATGACGCTCATATGTTGTGTAGAATAATTCTACATAGTGACAATTGTAACTAGAGCATAAACATTTAAATCTGAGAATGTTGATGTTTAAGAATTACCCAGTTAAAATCCAGACCAAAATCCATCTTACACACTTTAGGAAGGCTTGGAAATGTATTAAAATAGTCATTTCTACACTTTTTAAATCATAGCTACTGCTTTGTGTCTGCTATTGCATAAAATCTTAATAAAATACATCAAAAGTTGTGGTTTGAATGTGAAAAACTATTAGTTTTGTGTTTTCTGGTTCAGAAGTTACAGAATCCTTTTAGTGACATGCTAAATTAATTTGCTAAAACAAAAGAAAATAAATCAAAAGTTACTCTAATAAAGAGTTCAAAATAATTTTTTTCTAGGTTTTAACTTTTATCCAAGCCATTTTGAGTGTAATTTTCAAATATTTTCATATTTTTACAAATGAAATCCTAAAGCATACCAGTCCAAAGCAATAACACTCTAAAAAAGTACCTCTTGTTAAAGCTGTGTATACTTCTCCTTGCCTCTGTATGTTTCTAGGTTTAGCCTGGTCTTGCTTTATGCTGGAGCTTGCATCAGTCTCAAGAACTCTAAATACACACTCTGCATCCACACTATTTTCTTAGCCTGGAGCCTTCACCATCTTGTTAGGCTTGTTGATCCCCAGCAGTATTTTCAACCCAGGCAAGCGTGCTGTGCAAACACCAAACAGGCCATCCAGGTTAGGGGGACGTCTGCTGGGTGCCGCTCCTTGTCGGCAGACCTTGCTGCACACATGCAACCCCTTGGGCCAGATCTGTCAGCTCTTCCTGTTTCTGAGCAGAGACTCATCCTGTCTCACTCTCACGCTCTCCCTCTGCGATCTTATTACTACTCGTTTACAGCACACAAACCAAGAGCATGCTGGGAGAATTATTACTCCAAGTGGAGAGAGAGAGGTGCCAGGTGGTTTGGTGAGGAAAATGTGGATTGGAGGAGTGCTCTTGTGCACTGTTGGGTTATTACCAGCTGTATTTAGCTGCATCTAAACCCAACGTTTTGATCATTGAACTTCTTTTTCTTGATCATCACATGGTTGTGAGAGTGAAGTCACAAGATTTTACTTACCGGTATGTTAAATCAAACAAAATTATTTTGAGTTTAACCTCTTAATTCAACATTTACTGTCTAAAATGACCTAAATCAAGTCTTATTAGTCTGTTATTAGGGGACAGAACATAACTATAACTTTTGTTATTGTAGCTAAAAACCCAATGCTTCATGTGAATAATGTTGCACAGTCATGTTCACCACGGACATAATATTGATATTCTATTCTCTGACAAATTATACTATCTAAAAGGATATGGAGACTGTACCATTTTAGCTTCAACTCCAGAAAATGTTATCAATTTACATTTTCTAGTTTTATTTTGTGGTGTGTCTAGATTAAAAATAATAACTATTTCCTTGAAGACTTACTGAACCATTCTTTCTTGCACTTTAATACTGAGAAATTGGTTTCAGTGTGGCAAACTCTGTAGAGGAAGCCCTTCTGTCCCTCTTCCTCATGGGTTGTTATTATTACTCCCCTCTGTAGGAGTGAAGACATTTCAAGGCTCACAGCTGAACCGTAACCCACTAAATGTGCTCTGTAACAAGGGAGACATCGCTCTGCAGAAACACATGCAGCAGGGACCTTGCAGAGAGCTTTCTGAGGGCTCTGGAGAGAAACACTTCCTTTTCTTTTTGTAATTTTGTGGTTGAGAAGTAGAACATTCTTGAATACATGGGTTGTAGGTAAATACAAGAAAGTAAGTATCGAGAAACTTGTAAAGGAGAGTAAATTCTATCAATTTATTTGTTTTATTTTTATTTTTTTACATGCCTGGAAAAAAAAAGAAAATGAAAATGGTTGGAATTTTGATTATGTATCACCCAGGAAAGAGAACCTGCATCTCATCTCATATTAGACTTTATTTCCCAATAGGCACCTTTGCTACACTGACACTTATATTTTGTTTCACATAATCTTGCACAATACAAGTTTCAAGCATGAAAGCTCTGTCTTTATTAAGATCACTTTAAGTCTCATTATCATCATAAATAGAGTTGCAATTCCCATCCTGTGTTAGGGAGGGAAGTTGCTCTTAAGCAGGATTTTGCTAATATTAAGCAAAGACGAGATGATTTAAAGTTTATATTAGCAAACTGTCGGCGATGAGCAGGATTGTGAATTCCCTGGAGCAGATCTTTCCAACGGTGGTCCACTAATTCATATATAAGTATCTCATTGATACTAAATAAAACTAACTTTGTCCCCCCCGTAACAACTTCAACACAGAAGAGGAGTGCTCTTTTAAATGTAAATTAGTATTTCTCAAGTTTGTTGCATTCACCAAAAATCATCCCACACCAGTCACCAGATGTTTGTCTGTGCACCTCGAATCATAATTGTTGAGAACAAAAAGCTGCTGCAATGAATTTTGTGGACAGCAGCAGAAAGAAATCTTAATTTACGGAAATCACAAGACACTCAACCGAGTCGTATGAGACATTTTTAAGCTTTCATTGTTAGATTAGGTTAGTGGAAATCTACTGTTCTGAGATAACCAAGCAAAGCCCCTATGGAGATCTTTCCTGAATATGTAATTGTGAGGAATACAAACATAATAGTAAGAGGGAAAATAAACAAAGAATGAAAAATATTCTTTTGAGTTTGTGGAGGCTTCTTACCAAAGCTCCTCACTACATCACTTCTATGCAGCCGGTGGCTCCACTCTATTTTTATCCCCAGGGAGTAAAGGCAATGTCAAGGCTTTGATACAGGGCTGGAGGGAGGCTCTGGGCAAGAATCCTGATCGTCCAGTTACCTCCTAGCCTCTCGCTCAAACCTTTGATACAGTCGTGCATAATACTAACACACAGGTTAGTTTGGGGTTGAGGCGATATGCATCCTGTACCAGCTGAGCTTGTTGTCCATTATTGCATGTTGTTTTTTTTCCCCTGCTCCTCACAGTTTGCATCCAGGATTTTACTCTGAAGACATTGGAAGTGAACTGTTCTTTAGCTTTCTGAATGTGTGATTCTCAGTCTTGATGTTTAACACTTTGTGAGACAGAAAGGAAACTTTCATTTCTGAGTGATGAATATCTACTCGCCTTTGAAACATTCAGTTTAGATTTCTTAGATGAAGATACGGCTTAATCAAACAGTTTAAAAAGTCGCTGTTGAGGTTTTTCTGAAATTGTAAGCTGCTTTTGTCGTCTTGAAGTGTCGTACAATGTCAGCATGGCTGACATTGTGGAATGGCTTTTTGCTCTCAGGCTTCTGTTCTCAGTTATCAAACCTGGTGACTCTCAGTTGACAGCTATATTACCAGCTCAGTGGCATCCATAATGTTGACAGCTGAGTTGCCTCTTAATTTTTCTTTTCTCAAATTTAATGTCACCCTTGTGGGAGAAAAGGGGTAATATAAATATTTATGATCATGCATCAAATAGTTAGTGAGGGAGACTTCCAGGCTCACACATCCATGTCAACACTTTAGCCAAAAAGGTTCAGTAAACCCAGCAATACTGTGCAATTTTGATTAGTATTTGGTAGTGTGTCCTACAAACATACTGTATGTTGATAATTAGAAAAGAACACATGTTTTTCTGGGTCTTCAAATAATCTTTTATGAAGTGTTTTGTCTTCTTGTCAAGGTTCTCCAGGCCTGCAGATTCAGTTCAGAGTTGATGACGATTTCTTGAGGCCAAGAGAAAAGCGCTGGTTCCTCCGCCACCTGGCCCTCCATACCATGCACATCGATGTTTGGGACAGTGAGTCATTGCTCCTCATTGGTTCTACCGCAATAGAGCTCAAGGTAAATGACTGAAGGTTGGATTTCATACCGACATAGTTATGAGAGACACATTTATACATTTTGTGCAATCCAGTTTTAATGAACTAAAATAAATGACAAGAGGGTTGAATTTCTTTTTCTTAATCATCACATGGTTGTGAGAGTGAAGTCACAAGATTTTACTTACCGGTATGTTAAATCAAACAAAATGATTTTGAGCTTAACCTCTTAAGCATCCTGAAACACTAGTTTTAGTTTCTGTGCATATTTCTGAGACCATGTACATCAGGTGTGTCAAACTCATTTTCATTTTGGGCCAAATCAAGATCATGAAGGCTCTTAAAGGGCCGGTTGCACCAGAATGTGTTGCTGTTTCACCCTTGCTTCATCAATCTAGTTCCATCATCCATATTGAGAAGATTTTCTTTCTTTCATTGGTTGGTTTGTTTGTTGGTTAGTTCTTTCTTTGTTTCTGTCTTTTTAAATTTTCTTTCTCTTTCTTTCACATACTACATACAACTTTGATTCCTGTTCATTTGTACTTTTTCCCTCCCCAGTATTTGCTGCGTCAGGGAAAGCCCGCCGTCCAGGCTCTGCACGAGTTGGAGATCCTGACCACAGAGTATGTGGAAGAGGACACTTTACTGCCTGACGCAGATCAGCATCTGCGTTCAACATCCACCGCGATGACAGTTTACACCATTGTCAGAGGACGGCTCCACATACGAACGGGCTGCATAGGCAAGTACAGAAAAACTTTTACTTCCCATTCAGAACTCTGATTGTTGGTATAATCATTGACACCTTGACAACAAAATATCTACATCAAATGGGATTATTTTGTTATGTAATCAGTGGAAATTTTTATTTGGGCCCAAGTTGTCAAATCAAATGTAATATAATTTTGAAAAAAGTGCAAAAAAGTCTTCCTTGATTCCTTTTTAGTTGTTTTGTGATCGACTAAACATTGTATATTTTTTTAAAAACTAGTCAGGTTGAAGGGAAAGCGATGATTAATTTTAAATTTAGGAAGGAAATGTTGAGTTGGCCTGCTTGAATAAGGCAAACCAACTCAACACTCTTATCTCCCAGTGAAGATGACATTTTTTTAAATCACATCTCCACACTTTTTCAAGAGAAAACTTACAAACTGGTTTTGTTACTGGTAGACTTGGGAGAGCCTGTCCAGACAACCCAGAAGAGACTAATAAGGAAAGCTCAATACCCTTAGCCTCATAGTTTGGGATACGCCAGCAAACTTGGGGGCTAATCCACAAAGCAAGGCAGGGCCATACCCCACCTCTGCTCCCAGGCAGCTGCAGGGTTTAGTATCTCACTTTTGGACTTTTATTACTCCATATGAACTTTGAAAAATGTTTATATCACTCCCTAAGTTGTTTTGCTGTGAAAATCTGTAGTGGTTTTCTTCTTTGCTATTCAGATTCTGGTGCCAAGGTTGAGGGAAGTGGACTACAAATGTTCATTTTCTTATTTATTCATTTGTTTTTTTTCTGGCTGTGTGTAAAAAAATGCATATCATTCTCTGATCTCTGAATTTCTTCAAATTAGTTTATTTAAACTTTTAACTGAAAAAAAATCTAAATTTTACATTATTTCATAAAGCTATGTAATCAGTTTAAATTAGGTGAAAGCAGGACTGAGTCTGGCGATGCTATTTAAAAAAATGTTTTTACAAAACGTGTCCCACCTCACAAGATGGTCTAAATCAAACTATCCTAAAATGATTTGAGTGCAAGGATAACTTACTTGTATTTAATGTCGTCTGAATACAATTATATCACTCAACACAGATGTTGGTATCAGATATCGATGGGATTCAAATGAAATTCAAAGATGTAGCATCACAACTTCATCCTCAAATGTCATATCTGCCAACATCTTTGTGATTTAATTTTTTGTAAACATTACACTTTTATAACTTTATACGCGTTTAAGGATTTTTTTTCTTTCTTCTCATCTACTGCTATTGATGCAAATAATAATTAAGACAAAATTTTAGGGAGAAAACAAAACATCTAATCTCCCAGGCAGATGTTTCATTGTGGATTTATCCAACACTGACTTCTAAAGGAGACTAAGCCTTGTTCTGTCTCAAAGCAACACAGGAAAGAAACAGTTGTGTTTGATGGCTTTTGAGCAAACATCCTTGTTCATTACATCCCGAATCATCCTTTTACATCCAAAATGTGTGTGGGCATTAATTAATCAGGATATATTGTTTTTTTAGAGCTCGGGATTATGAAGGAATGTTGTCTGCTCTCTTTATTTGAGTGTATAGATTTGAAGAGATTTTAATCTCCACAACTGGGAGGACAGAGGTGTAGAAACTTGTAAAGCAAACGGTGCCAAAGCAAAAAAATATCTCACTCTGATAGTCCCTCTCTGTCTGGCAGCTGAACGCTTTTCCTTTCCCCTTGCACTCATCCAATTTGGGCCTGGCACGCCCCTGCAGCACAGCGGCAGCTGACGATAGCTTCCTTGTCATTAATCAACTGCTGAAACGATATTCCACCTCATAAACAAGGCGTCCTTTTTCAGGTTGAAGAAACCCTTCCTACTGGCTTTGTTGGAGCTTAATATGCCAGCAAGTTCTCATTGTGCTTATCAGTGAAAGCAGGTTAAGAGTGGGTCGGGTTATTGGTTGGGATAGGGAGACGGGTTTTTGTCTGACATGTAAATTCACATCAATGCTTAAGTATCCATCAGGGCGGCCTGGCCGACAGTCGGAATACATTTTGTGAGGGTATTGCTAGCGAGGTCTTTTATTTGTTCTTGCTTCCATCTGCTGCTGCCTTTTTCATATATTCACATCCGACTTCACTTTTCGTCAGTGCCTTTTCTGTTTTCTCCTGTTTCTTTTTCCCCTTCCACAATTTCTTCTTTCTTACTGGTTAATCCAGCTGTGAGATGCAAGCGTCACATTTTCTCAGTTTCTGTCTTCAAGCCATAATGAATCAGCCTGGTTATTGGTTTGAGAGTAAAGATTGTAAAGCCACAGATTGAGCAATTGAGTTATGAATATCAAACAATTTAAAGATCCCAAAAACTCATGGTCACACATAGATCGATGCAGACATAAATATTGCCTGGTGTTCTTCTACGTTTAAAACTTTCAATGTTGCTGTTTTTATTATGAGGTGTAAGGGATGTCATGCATTTCACATTTGTGTACATAAAACTCTCAGAAGGTTCTTTTGTTGCATGAGTCCCCTTTTAATCTTGTAAGTCTCAGCAAAATCCAAGGTAAGTAATTGCCTTCAGATATCAATTAAGTTGTCTATAAAACACTTTGTTTTTAAGTAAATCTTGATCATGTAAATTAAAATCTTCGGTCGTAGCTAAATGAAGAGGGAAAACATTTAAAACATTATACATTTTTTTAGAAGCACAATGAACACAAATCATCAATCTCAACCATTTTCTTGAGTTCAGTTGAAGGTTAAACAACTTCCAGATGGAATCAAAAAGTTGGACTGACCAAGCCGTGACTGATGACGTACAGATGGACCTTTGGGATTCCAGCTTAAACTGTGGGGTAAAGGTGCCTTTAAGGGGTTTATCTCTATTAATGCAACAAGGGAGGAGGTGTGTGTTTGGTAGAAAGATGTGCTAAGTCAGAATGGTGAGCTGAACGGCTTAATGGTATGTCATAAATTCCTGAATATGTCCTTGAGCGTTTTTAAGGTCCAGTATATAGAAAATGGTCCAATGTTCCTTCTGATAAACATCCCTGACATACTGAAGCTCGTTTTGATATGAGATATTTTCCAACAAATCAGCCTGCTTGATAACCTGCAGGGTTACTCAGCTTACTGCAGGAGCAGAGACCCCATTCCTCTCTGGCGCCCAACGCTGATGGCTCTGGGAGGCGTGATAAATGGTATGTAAGGAGACCCAGGTGTGGCCAGAGCTGATGGTTTGTCCTAAAAAACCAGCTAAAGCTGTCTTGTCTTTCAGAGGTGCTATTCTCAAATGGTCATTTGTTCAGGACTACAGCCAGCATGATTTTCTGCCGTTTCTCTTATTGATTAACTGTCTGTCATCATGACTGACAGGAATTTATTTTACATGACAGTGTAAAAAGATCTATTTAATTGCATACCTGCTTATTCATCTCTTGTTAAATTGACAGCAGACAGCAGGGCAGCTACCCTATCCCATGGCAAACAGGGATTTCACTGAAGCATAACATACGGTGCTGCCTAGTTTTCTTGCCATTATTAGCAGAAAAAAAAGTTGTAGACCAATACAGAGACATCTTTTAGATTTACTTTATGTTTTATTAAACACAGCTTCAGGTCAAAACCGGGTTTTTAAATCTTTCATTTGAAACAGGCAACATGCTGCAGCAGGGTGTGCCTTGTTACCTTGTAAACTCGGTGCATAAATTACACTCAAACACCCTGTGTTTTGGACATGACAAACTTAATTTAGCTATTTAGACTCTCCCAGTGAGCTAAAATAAAATGAACACACATAAGTAATGCACTCAAGTGACACAAAGATCAGAAAAAGGAGTGAACCTGTATATTAATTTATGAACATTGGCTAAAAACTGCCAGATGGTTTTGTATCATGTACAAAGAAACTTTAAATACCAAGTTAAAAATTCTTAGAAATGAACCCTGATCATTGCACTGCATATGTTAAATGTTTTTTCTTCATTCACCCACCTTAAATAAAGATGTTTAGTGGTATTTCAAGCACTATTTAGAGGCGGAACTGTCTTGATTGTCATGATGATGGAAAGAAAATGCAAAACACTTGACCTTCCTCACGCCACACAAAGACCATCATGTCATCCTGATAGTAAGTAAATGGAAATACTGATGCTGTTTTCTTCTTCACAGTTCTACAGTGTTAGAAAATTGTCCCAAAATAGAATATGCCACACTCGTCGTTAGCAAAATTTTTGTTTTTATTCACTTTGTTTCCAAAAGTTCCCGATTTAAGCTTTTTATTGCTTAAATTTGCAGTAAACACAACAATACAGATCTTGCTTAATTTAAATCAGACTTGAGAGAAATATTTTCCTTTGAAAAAAGAGAACTCAGCAGGAGAGCAGAGGCAATTAAATGCCTCATCTGTTGTTCGAATGAAATTAATGCAGTGTAAACATTAGATTTTTTTCAATTACTATTGGAGGCATTAAGGCCAGGATTAAAAAAAATATATATATATTTTAAAACTATACACATTAAATTACATAATCAACTTAATTTTTCTCTATGCTAACACGGTGCTGACTACATAGTAATATCTAATTTCCTGTTTTTCAGTCATGGACATTATCAGTCATGTTTTGTCTTTAATGCTTTAGGAATTTATCAGCAGCAGGCTGAATTAAAAACAAAAGGCGAATTCCTATGCACATCTTTTAATCACCATAAAGTAGAACTCACTCTTAATTAATAAAAAGAAAATGTTATAAATTGTCACATCCATTCAGTCACATTACAATGCAGTCATTTTTTTAAAGGTAAAGGACCCAAAAGTAGCTGAACTGAATAATAGAGCGATTAAGTCAGAAAGGCTTTGTTTTGTTGAAACGTCTGCTGTCTTTAGCAAACAAGAACGACTGCCAGACAATTGTCTGAGCAGACACAGCATGTTTAAGCTATGACAACTGCTGGCTTGCACTTTAAAACTAATTAATGAATCTACAAAACTGATTTTTATCCACAAAACCACAATAAAGGCTGAGACAAAAAGCAGACATA